ATGCCCGACCAGGGCTGGGGATGAACAGAAACCGAGGTACGTGCCCTTGACCGGAATAGAACCTGAGACTCATTGGTCCACATGCCAACACTCTAACCACTGAGCAAGACCGGCCAGGGCTGTTGCTCCTTCTAGAGAGACTAAATGTTTAATCCATAAGACCATACACAAAAATCTCTAATAGGTTATAGAAGATACTAAGGAGCCACTGTTTTAAAATGTCAATTTGGAAAGGGATGTCACTATGCGACCCCAGGTATCTTGAACTTCGCTTCAGTTTACTGGTGGAATTAATGATGACAGAGCCATTGTGAAAAGCAGTTTGTAATCACAGCTGTTCCTTAAATATTCTCAAGTATTGCAGCAAACTTAACCTACATAAAGGGAGCTTTGGCATTATTTGGCACATAGTAAACTGTCAGTAAATACTGGCTGAATGTTACTTATCTACTGGAAAGAATTTGACTAACTTTATATCTATAAACTGAAAAGCTCTTTGAGTGACTCTTCAAATAGATTTAGGTAACTCAGACATAAAATGTTAAAATATAATTGTGATTGGAAACATACATAAATAAGCAGCATTAACACTTTGAATCAAGTTCCCAATGGAGAGTGCAGAAACGCTGAGAAACCAGATCCACAGATAGTTATAATTAAAAATCATCATTCTTCTAGTTATTGCAAATCAGGGATATTTTATTTGGATCCAGGAACTCTTGAGATTGTATGCAACATTAAGTGGGTTTATTTTTATGTGCACTTTTTTCTTTTCTGGAGAAAGGAGCCACAATTTTCATCAAATTATCAAAGGCTTTGTGAGCCAGAAAAAAGTTAAGAATAGATGCTGTTGATGTCAGATTTCAGGAGGCACTCAGATTGCTCAATACATGATTGCTTAATTCACTTCTCCCTCCGAATTTCAGTCCCAGCAGGAATATGAGAATTCCCCAAGCTTAAGTTCTTATATACAGTAAAAACTTTTTGGAGTCATGTTATTTAAAAAAAAAAAAAAACACAGAACAATTTTTACAAAGGAACTGTATAAAAATAGACACTTGGGGAGATTTTAAATCTACATGTATATGGTGTGCAAGTGTGTACTTTTTCTTAATCACTTCCTCTCATTTATCTCTTTCCCCAGTTAGCTTCCTTTTCCTGGAACTTGGGATCTATTCCAGGTGGCCACAATGACAGCTTTCCACAGCAGAACAAAGCAACCACTTGTGAAAAAGACTTTAGACAAAAGAGAAACCACATATATTACGTTCTGAGACTTCATGCAAAAATTAGAGGCTGCCTTTCTGGACTGTTTGAGAAATCCTCTAAGTTCCTGGGTGCTCTTTCTAGTAGAGAGACCCACATTCTCCTAAGACCTTCCATGCAGCCAAGACCGTTACTCCCCAACTTCTGGAGAGGTTCCTAGGAATGCCTGCAGCACAGTCTGAGGAGGAAAGAATGCCCTCATCACTGGCACTAGGTCCCAGCAGAGAAGCTTGATCCCTGCCAGCTGACAAGTAAGGACAAACAGGCCCGTGTCTTCACCTCCCTTCACTGAGTCTACAAGATCGTGTGTGTGGATTGCTCAGAAATACTGGACCCACCAGGAAAAACCCTTTATGAGAAAAGGCTCTAAACCTCAGCAGATTCACAGTTAGCTCCAGATTTGGAGGTGCTGTGAACCCCCAAGATATGTATAAATGGCATGTATGTTTTTCTGGGAAAAGGCTCTGTGATTTCAAACAGATTCTGAAATGGGTTTGTGACTTCCCTGTGATACGGGCATCCCCAGGAACTCTGCAAGGGAGAGGCTATGGGGCACATCTTTTCAGAAATCCTACTTTATTTTCTTAGTCAATTCCTTCTCTTTAGATATATTCAGGAAAAACTATTTAGAAGGCCTAATAAAATAGGGGTGTTGTCACAAGCAAAACTAGTCCTGCAATCTGCTTTTTATTTTTTTAAAGTTCCATGTAAAAATAAGTACTTCTCAACCAATGTTAACTATGTTAAATATGTCCATAAAAGAACCCACAGGACACATACTTTTTTTTTTTTTTTTTTTAGTTGCCTTGTTTTCAGAGTCATAATGCAAAACAAAAGCAAATCTTCCTATTTCAGCCACAAATTGCAGGAAACAAGGGGTGCCCCAGTCTCTGAAGTGATACTGATCTTTTCAATGAGGAAATACCAGGCATCAAATATTTAGATTTTAGAATATTTTAATGTCCATTTCTTCAGTGGATGCATTTTGAAATTATTAAAATTAACAATTTACCAAGAGTAGAGCAAAGGAAAGATGGAAATGCAAACAGTTGATTCTTGCTAATTTAATTTCAGATTCTAGGCATGATGTGATTTTCGAAAACAACCAACCAAAAAATGCTTACCTCAAAAATCTAGAAGTGCAAACATAGACGGATCTTTGGAAACTACAAATTATTACAGCCCACGTAATGGGAAGCACGTGGCCCTTTGGCTCTCAATGTCATGTGCAAATGTGCAGGTGTCTCCACGATTGAAGTCAGTGTTAATAGAGTCGTGTGCAGGTGTTGCATAATCTGTGCGACTCTTCAAGCTACTTAAGGGTTTAATAACTGATACTCTACATTTGTTTACATTGGATAAAATTATGTGCTTGTTTATACATATATATAATTTGATCTGACCTGGGGCCAAGAAGAAAATAGCAATTGCAACTCAAAGCAGCTATTTACACACATTCAATTCTGAAGTATTGCTTCCTGCCCTAAGTTTAGAAGAGGTATTGCCACTCTGAAGAATGCATCCATCGTATCGGTAGCGCTTGAACCTGCTGCTTAGAAACCCATCTGTCTGCAGCAACTATCTGTTCAATGCCAACTGGGTGAGACGCATGGCATTTCCGTTGCAGAGATTCTGTGGTTCTGCGATGAGGTATGCATCAGAGCGAAGAACTGGGAAGAACCAGAGAGCACATCTAAACTGGTTATTTAGGAAGGCTAAGGGTGTTTTTTAAAGACAATTTTAAACTTTGGGTAAGCCATCCATCAAAGGTTCCACTTTGCACAATGCTGAATCAGACCACCAGATGGTCTGATTCTTTTCCTGCAGTTTGCATTCTCTCAAATTCCCAGGGTTAGGAATCGTAAACACCTTTGTAGGAGGGGAAGAAAAAAAAAGTTTAATAGGGAAGAAGTATGTGCAGAGATGAACTTTGTAGAGCATGTTTTGAGCAGAACAGCAGAGACACTGGTAACTCATAGGCAACCGCCTAGCCCCTTAGGTGCTGCCAAAGCTACAGAGCCTGGAGTGAAAAGGCAAAGGAACAGAGCCACACTCAAACACACGCCTTAATACTGATGGAAGAAACCCAGAACACGCCACAATGCTTACAGACATGGAGAGCATCAGGTAGTGTTTTTTTTTTTTTTTTTTTTTTAAATAAAAATAAAAATTCTGCAATATTTTATAAGAATACATTCTTTAGAAGCAAGAGGTATTGTCACAACCATCCTTTCTCCGGCATTGGAAGAACAACAAAGTGACAGTAAGACCTGAAGAAAAACCTTAGTTACTGAGAATGCTTTGAGTTCCCCAGGACATCGCGGCCCTGGCTATGGCTGTGCAGCCGGTGGTCATCCCACGCATGTCCTCTGGGGAGATGGCTGATCAGAATCAATATTTTGTGATGCTAGAAATGGCAGATTCTGTATGAATGTGGGGAGGAGGAGTGATAATGGGACTTAACGCAGATGTGAAAGTTACACACAGATTTACCAGTGAAAAGCAAATGCATAGGGCATGTCAGAAAAGACAGAGAAAGAGCTAGCCTCAAATCATCCCAGGAGCTGCATGCCAGTGTCACCTTGAAAATAAGGCAACTATAGCCTGAGTTCAGTTCAACAGTTGAGACTCCATGTGGCATCATGTAATTATGAGGAGGATTGGCAACAAAAAGCACAGAATTGTTTCCTAGGTTTTCCACACTGTCCCCAGTTTAATACCTCATTTGCATTCAGACGATTCTGTCCCAACACACAGTGTAAGAAGTCCGTCTAGAAGGGGCTGGCTTTCATCCACCAGGCCCAATCCTGCCACAGGCCCTTCGCAGGCTGAGAATGGTAAGAATAGAGAAACTGCTTGAATGTGTGAATGCCGAAGGCCAAGACAGTGCCCGGCAATGCTGCCGCCCTTGCACTCTGCCCAGAACTCCTGCATCATACCCAGCCGGGTTCTGATTCCATCCCTGCAGCATCACACGGGGCAGAAGTAGCAGTATTTGGTTTAAAAAACAGTGATGGAGAGCTTCTCTGACCTAGAGTGCTGGCCATGCCCACGGGGGTCCTGCTTGGCCCACTCTCGGGGCAGGTGGCCCAAAGTGGCTAAAATACTAACAGACAACTTCTCATCCTCTGCTTTATGCCTTCAGCAGATCCCCGGAGTCTATTTCCTTTCAGCAGAATGACCCAGCATCCCCTCCCTGAAAACACGTTTCCTGATAGATAAATAAATAAATAAATAAATGCAACCCTCAGACATTTATTTTCATTTCCCTCTCAAATGAGTCAGCTGCAAAGACAAGCCCCTTCATTCCCAGCTGGAAGACCCCCTCCGCACGAGGGAAGAATAAAAACAGCTTTTAAATACCTGAGGCCTGGGTCCCCAAGCTTTGTTACGGGTTAGCATTTGGAATCCCAACCTGCATGTGGAGGTGTGGGCGATGGGGCACCCACAGCCCACAGGGCCTGGTGTTCTGGAAGGCGCAGGGAGGGAGGGGCGCCAGGCCATTCGGCTGACTGCTGTTCTCAGCCCACGCCACCCCCTTTGACATCCCCTCTCAGTGAGTTACTGGCACTTGATCTCAGATTCATAAATACAAGTGTGTGTGCGTGTTATGTGTTTACATAGAAAGGTCAGGTCACTGGAAAACACTATTATGTATATAGAAAAAACAAACCTCAAAAACATTGTATTAGCAAAAAAAAAAAAAAAAAAAAAGTGTCTCATGAGAAAAAGCAATAAAAATGATATCTTAACCACAGCTTTTGTCTTAAAAGTCCGACAATCTCTAATGCCATGACTCAAAAGTCCATCAATACCTAATGCCATGACCTCCATCCTGTGGCCTCTTTCCCCAGACTCCAAAGCCACAGCCAGCCTCTGAAGGCACTTGTTCTCCACGCTGCCGAATGGTTACACCAAGGGGAGAGGGTTCCAGTGGGAGAAAAGGAAAGAAATGGATGAAAACGAACCCTGAATAACTGTGATCTACACAGAAGTTAGGGCTGCAATGACCACATGACACTACATCTGGGGATGGAAACTGTGGCGCTTGGAACGCACAACAGCCAAATATAAATGTTATTGTGTTTTGATGAACAGAGCACCGTGGGCAGCGTTCAGGTGCTGCGTCACACCCTCTTTGAGACATTGAGCTTGGTGAGTTCATTGGCTTCTTCCATCCCCATATCTTCACAGTCACTTTTATCTATGGCTTTGCCAAATCGACACCTTTCTTCGGCTTTGACAGGCTCTTTCCAGGGTCTCTTAGAAGACATGTGAGGGTCCTTGGCCTGTGTGTTGTTCTCAGAACCCAGAGATGTCTTGTCCATGTTCTGTACAGAAGGCACCAGGTTGGCAATCTCGTCTGTGGGAGACCGTCCGATGCTGCCGTCCACCTGGACTCGGATGTCTGGGGAGATGGACAGCTGGTGCTGCGGCACTACCCCATTGTCTGTGCACTTTGGGTAAAGGTAGGTCTTCATCTGACCTTTACCCTTGACATTCACCGTGCCCCTGTAGTCAAAGTCATAGCCCATCTTGCTGAGGACACGGTAGCTTTCTTCACTCACCTGTATGCGGCACTCCACTCCTGTGGTGTCCATCCTGCTGGCAATGTTGACAGTGTCTCCCCAGATGTCATACAGCAGCTTGGTAGTGCCAATGACCCCTGCTGTCAGGGGTCCGTGGTTGAAGCCGACTCTGAGCTTAAAGTTGAACCACAGCATGTTGTTGTTGAAGTCATCCACCACACGCATCATCTCCTTGGCAAACTCAAACAGAATCTGCAGGTGTTCCTGCGGGTGGCTGCCATCCTGGCACTGTGTAGCATTCAGCCCCGATGCAGCCATGTACGTGGCCCCAATGGTCTTAATCTTCTCAATGCTGCTGTAGTCTGGCTTGCTCAGAAGTTCGTCGAAGTCCCCAATCAGCTCGTTGAGGACCCGATAGCACTCCTTGCCTCCCTCATAGTTCTCCTCATAGAACTCACTAAAGTTGACAATGCTGGCAAAGATGACTCCCCCGTTGTCATGGTTCTTGGAGTAGGTCTGGGAAACCTTCAGCTGCTCAGCCACATGGTAGGGGATGATGTTCCTAAGCAGCCAGTCAGCTTGGTCCCTCATGCTCTGGATCTTGGTGCGGTGAAGGTCTGCCTCCACGTCCCCGTGGTAGTGAAGGCGGTAGCTGACTTCGAATTCTCGATTCAGGAACCAGACCAACAAGATCAGGAGAAAGGAGACGAGAATCACCTCCTGGCCAATCAGGCTGGCTGGTCTCCTGCTGTCATGCAGCAATGAACTATTGCACGGATTCCTCTCAGAACTGGAGAGGAAAGAGGAGAGAAAGATGTCCCTTCTTAAATGCATCTTTTAAAGAAAATTACTCTCAGCAATTCCAGGTTCTGAAACAGCCCAGCTAACCAGCATCCTGCATAAAATTTTGTGGAGCTCAAACCTTCGACAACCTGCAGTTGCAAAGCAACCCTTTTCTGTTTAGTTGGATGGCTAAAGATGTGCAGGGATAAATACTGACTTCTGTAACTGATTTCTTTAATAAGTGCTTTGTAATTGCTTTGTTTTTCAGATCTTTAGTTTTAAAAAATCTTTTCTTTTCCCCCAATTTTTTATTTTGAAAAATGTCAAAAATGTCAACCTTATAGAAAGGTTAAGAGACTAGCATAACTTCATACATCCTTCTTCTGGATTCAACAGCTGTTGACATTTTACCACTTTCTTTTATACTCTGTAAACACGCACACACACATGCACACACACTCACACACTTGTTGCTGACCATTCTGAAAGATAAAGTCATTAACACTTCAGTCCTGAATATTTCAGTATATATCTCCTACGAATAAGAACATCGCCCTATGTAACCACACCATTATCATACCCAAGAAAGTTAATATTCTCTGATATAGTCACTTTTTAGTTTTCTAATCCAACTCTAGTTTTGAAAGACTTGTAATTTTACAAAGAATTTTTCTAAATTCTCTACTCTCTGTATAAATGTTTGGCAAAATACCATTCCCCCCACTCTGAGTTAGTTCTGTATGGTAGTCATTTAAGACAATTTTAACATTAAAATATATATATAAAATATGTACTTTTAAGAGTACATAATACACTATGGAAATCTCAAACAATTAAAAATATGTGTCTTTCCTCCAAGGTAACCAACAGTGTCATTTTCTTGAGGTAATGCACTATTCTAATACATGGATGTACAATAAATAACCAGACTCCCTCCTGCGGACATTAGGGTGTGTCTTTCTTTTACTACTGAGAACAATGTTGCAGTGATATTCCTGCACAGTATCGTTGTGTATAAGAATTAGTCTGTCTGTGGGATAAACTCCTGGAAGTGAAATTGCTGAGTCATTTAAAATACTACACATTTACAATTCCACTGAAAATCTCCAACTTGCTATTCTAATTTCTATTCCCTCCAATAACTGACCCTGCTTTCAGGGGCTGTTCTCTGGTTCCACAGTGTGAAGGGTGACAACTGTGACTGGAGGACTGAAGATTAACACAACCAGCACACCCTCTTGTGAAGTTTATTTTTATTTTTTTTAATGTACTTTATTCATGTTTTTTAGAGACAGAGGAAGGAAGAGAGAAATAGAAACATTGATGTGAGAGAGCTATATCTATCAGCTGCCTCCTGCACGCCCCCCACTGGGGATTGAGCCCGCAACCTGGGCATGTGTCCTGACTGGCAATTGAACCAGGATCCCTCAGTCCATGGAATGATGCTCAATCCACTGAGCCACACCGGCTGGGCATAAAGTTTTTTTGTTTTTTTTTTTAATTTATTGTTTTTTTTATCCTCACCTGAGGACATATTTCCATTTTTTGTTCAGATAGAGCGGGAGGGAGAGAGAGGAAGAGAGAGAGAGAGAAACATTGACGTGAAAGGGACACATTGAGTGGCTGCCACCCACACGACCAACCAGGGCCAGGGACAAACTGCAACCGAGGTATGCGACCTTAGTGGGAACCCAACCCAGGTCTCTCTGGACCACAGGCTGACGCTCTAACCACTGAGCCAAACCAGCCAGGGCATGAAGTTTATTTTTAAAATAAATATATTTTTCCATTTAAAAATACTACCTACTCATCATATAAATTTAAGAAAAAAAAAAAAAAAAAGAGCCATGGCTGGTTTGGCTCAGCGGTTAGAGCGTCGGCCTGTGGTCCTGAGAGACCTGGGTTTGGTTCCCGCTAAGGGCGCGTACCTCGGTTGCAGTTTGTCCCTGGCTCTGGTCAGTTGTGCGGGTGGCAGCCACTCGATGTGTTCCTTTCACATCGATGTTTCTCTCTCTCTCTCTGTTCCTCTGTCTCCCTCCCACTCTACCTGAACAAAAAAAAAAAGGAAAAATGTCCTCGGGTGAGGATAAAAAAAGAAGAAAAAAAAAAGATTCATCTGTCATCGTACCACCCAGAGGCAATCACTGTTAACATTTGTTGAAATTCCTTCTAATCTTTCTTCTATTTATTTACAATACTGTGATTGTTCTGTTCACATAAATTTTGTAACCTGATGTATTTCTAAAGTACATCGAATAGGCTACTAGATTTTATAAACAATGGGCTGGGTCACCATATAAATATAATTATATATAAAACAGATGGGTCCTCAGTTTAGATAGCTCCATGGCACAGAAAACTGAATTCCTTACTCAAAGTGTTTAATACGTTTTACTGTTACCTGTAACTTAAGGATATTAAAAAATAATAAAACTGACCAAAATGGACACTGCGGTCCTCTTTGAAGCATAGTCACAAAAGCCCTGGCTTTAGAATGATGACACTAGGACCTCTGCAGGGTCCTAGACCCTTGGACAAGTCATGCTATCTTTCCAGGTCTCAATTTCCTCATGTGTAAACTGAAGAAAGGATAGGGTATTGTTAAGTCACTGCTGGCCTAAGGCTCTGTACAGAAAGAAGTGAACACAGCAGATCAGAGGCTGCTATCTGCAGAAAGGTCTTTTGGCAAAGGTGTCTGAGGCTGACATCAGAAAACTTGGGTATGGTGAGGTGCCCACCTCTTCTTGATAAGAGGGGGTCACCAGGCCTAGATTGTACAAATAACTCACTTTAAGCTAAACACCTGCCTTCCTTCAGAAAGCCTGCACTTTTGGTATGTGACAGGCAGAGGGTGCCTATGTGACCAGCCTCCAAAGAAAGCCTGGGCATTGAGTCTCTAAAAGGCTTCCCTGGTGGACAACATTTCATGTGCACTGTCATAGCTCATTGCTGGAGGAATTAAGCGTGTCCTGTACACCTCCACTGGGAGAGGACTCTTTAAAGCTGGCGCCTGGTTTCCTCCCACTCTATCTCATGTGCCTTTTCTCTCTGTTGATTTTGCTTTGTGTCCTTTCACTTTAATAAACCACAGTCATGAGTATGACTTTGTGCTGAGTCCTGAGTTGTTCTAGTGAATTATCAGGCCTGGGTAGTTTAGGGGATCCCTGATACAGATTCAATGCCTGTAAACCAGGAACCGAAAAGGGCCTCTATGGTAAGACATACCACACTTCACTTATTTATTTTGCTAATGGTCATTTAAACTAATGGCAATACATATTATAAATCTCAAGTACTAAGCAAATAACTATTTTATTTTATTTATTTAAAAAATTTTTTTTTTCTTATTGATTTTAGAGAGAGAGGAAGGGAGAGAGATAGAAACATCAATGAGAGAACATCGATTGGCCGCCTCCTGCATGTCCCCCACTGGGGATCGGGCCCACAACCTGGGCGTGTGCCCTGACTGGAAATCAAACCTGCGACCTCTTGGTGCATGGGTCAACGCTCAACCACTGAGCCACACTGGCTGGGCCAAATAACTCTTTATTTTAGATGACTAAAACAGATTTATGTCTAGCCCCTCAAACCTCTGGTTGGCTTTAGGGTAGAAAGAGGAGAAAGTAAACCTCTGTGTGTGTGTGAGCCCCATCTAATTAGGTTAGGACCTTTCTTTCTGTTTCTCCAAAGTGGTGACACAGAAGAATAGCCCTCTTTATGAGTAGATATCACCAAGGCTTAATGTCATTTTAACAGCACAACCAGGCATGTAAATCCCTGTGGTAGAAATGGGTGATGTGTCTAGGTTTCCTCAATTGTTTTACTGGTTTTGTTGCTTTTCTTGCTGTGCTGTGGCCAAAGCCAGCAGTGTGGCCTAACTCTGGTGATGGGCACAGGCCAGTTCCCTTTGGACGGAGAAGGGGAGCAGTGAAGCATGGGCCAGCATGGGAGGGAAAGAGGAATAGACTGCAACGTTTGCTTTTCCTTTGCTTAAAAGGAAGAGTCCTAATACACAGATTTATAGTTAGTACCCAAGGGGCTTCCCTGCAACAGAAGAGATCTGTGACACAGACGGAGAATTACTTCTGATCTATAACCCGTATTTCTTATTCTACTACAGACTGAACAAAGGTGATGGCCCTATTCCTAAATTCAAGTAGCAAAGGCCAGTTCCAAAAGAAGGAATTTTATGTGACTAAATGCAAGAGTCAACATATGACTTAACAGTTGGACATTAAATCATAAATGAAAAAGTAAAATATAGTATAATTCATTATGGAGAAGGAGGATTAAAAAATAGAAAACAATGGTCACTTGTGGTTTTAACCAGCTAAACACAGGATTTGTTAACATTTCAATGTATTTCAGTGCCCTTTAAAATCTATGCCTAGGATGCAGGGTTGGAGGGGTCACCAGGAGGGGACAAAAGGCAGGTTTCTGGGGTCCTGGTAATGTTCTTTTCCTTGGTCTGAGTGGTAGTTAAGTGGGTATGCTCATTTGTAAAAATTCATTGAGCTGTATTCTTATGATCTGGGTACTTTTCTTTGTATATGTTATACATCAATAAAAATTTAACTTAAAAAAATCTGCTAAGTGTTTTGCTTTAAATTTTTTTTCTTTATTGATTTTAGAGAGAGAGGAAGGGAGAGGGGGAAAGAGAGGTGGAAACATCGATGACAAAGAACATCCATCGGCCTCCGGCATGCCCCCATCAGGGATCCAGCCCACAACCTGGTGCCCTGACCAGGAATCAAACCAGTGACCTCTTGGTACATGGGTTGACACTCAACTACTGAGCCATACCGGCTGGGTAAGTGTTTTGCTTTTAAATACTATAGTTGTAATCATACACAGAAACACATTTGCATTCTGCCTTTGTTCTATGGTTAATTCTCTTTCCATGGTCTAAATAGCACAGATATTTAATTTTTTAATTGCAGAAACAGAAAAACATTGTCATTCATAACTCATTACTAGATCATAAATATTACATCTTACATTTTTCATTTACAATGAAATATCTAACTGTAGCTACAGAACATATGTAATTTCATATAATAGATGAAAATGACAGATTTTTTTTCTGCCCTCCTTATCAGGAGGATTTTTTTTCTTCACTAAATAAAGTGACAGATATTAATGAAACAAAATAAATAAGTAAATGAAAATAAAAATCATAAATGTTTTCCATGTTGCTGCATGTTAACAGTTGCAAAATTTAAGTATGTGTATCATAATTAATTAATTTACTTTTTATTGACAACTGAGGTTGCTGATGAACTTTCAATATTATCAATCATTGTGATTGATATTTCGGGGCATGTAGACTTTACCATATGCTGAATTATGTCCTCAGCAAATGAACAAAAAATAGAATTATGTACTTAAAGGCTATGAACATTTTATAGATTGTTAAAATACTTTCTAAAACAACTGTATCATTCTGAGGAGTAATGAAGCGCGGCAGAAAGAGCGTGGCCTGGTTGTAAGAGAGGCCAGGGTTTAAACACTGCCAATGACCAGCTGTGTGACCACAGACAGGTTTTTAACTTCTCTGATCTTCAGTTTCCTCATCTAGAAAATGGGGACAAAGTCACCTACTATGTCAGGTTATTAAATAAACTTATATTTTATAAGTGTCCAGTAGCTACACAAAATTAAACACCACTAGCAATTTATAAATGTGCCACACCCTTGCCTGCACTGGGTTTTTTTTTATTGTAAAATTTAAAAGGTCCAATTTAAAAGACCGAAAGGAATTCTGTAGTTATTTAAATGTGCAATGACTTTAGCAGTAACATATTTATCTACTACCTACATTTTCTCTTGTGAATGTTTTGGGTTTTTTCTGTCTTTTATCTAAACAGGTCTTAATTAGCTCCTTTTAAAAAACAATACTCCCACAAATACTTTTTTTCCAGTCTGTTTTGATGCCCTTCCCCAAACAATCTGTCAATAAGTCTTTTTTTTTTTTTTGCACATGGTTCCATTATCATTTGTAAGATTGGAAAGTTATGTCTTGTCTTAGAGGCTTGAAAATTACTTAATTTATTTTCTTAGATTTTTATATAGTTTTATATAATTTTATTGACTCTTCAATTTATTTAGAATTTAGTTTGATGTGTATAGTAAAAAAAGGGTCTAACATTTATTATTTCAAATTTCTAGTCAGTTATTTAAACATATTTTAGAGACTAAAGTAAGTACTTTTCTTTAATTGGTGAAATCACCTAAAGTCTTACATAAAATTAAACCAAATCTAACGTGTCTTTAAATTTTTTTTTTATTTCAGAGAGAGGAAGAAAGGGGGGGGGGGAAGAGGGAGAGAGAAAGAGAGAGAGAAACATCAATTTGTTGTTCCACTTATTTATGTAGTCATTGGTTGATTCTTGTATGTGCACTGACTGGGGATTGAACCCACAACCTGGGGGTCTCAGGACAATGTTCTAACCAACTGACCAAGCCAGCCAGGGCTAACATATGTTTTAATTATCATTTCACTTTCCCGATATTACAACTATAATCTGATATTTCAATGAGTAGATATTTTCCACTGATTTTTAGAGAGAGTGGAAGGAAGGGAGAAAGGGGGACAGAGAGAGAGAAAAAAAACATTGATGTGAGAGAGACACGTTGATTAGTTGTCTCCTGCACTTGACCAGACCAGGGCTGGGTATCGAACCTGCAACCGAGGTACATGCCCTTGACCAGAAATTGAACACACGGCCCCTTCAGTTGCCAGATGATGCTCTAACCATTGACCCACACTGGCCAGGACCATTTAATCTTTTAAGCATATAGATATAGATATAGATATGGTTCTTTTTATGTAAGATACAATTATTTTTTAGGACGTTTAGGAATATGCAGTAATAATATAGTTACTCTCATTGATTCAGATTTAAACACCATATTAAAAGCTTACCTGAAATTCTGTACTGCACCAAAGTGTGAAATTACTATGGAACTGAAATTAAAATAAAGAAAAATATTATTATAAAAGGCAAAAAAGGCATTGTATAAAGTAATCTGAGAAGAGCTCAAATACACAATTTTTCTTTTTTATGTGGAGATTAAGTTAAACAGTAAATTTTTTATTATAATTTAATACTGTATATTGATTAAGAATAACACAAGGTAAAGACAATGATATAGCTAAAAAGCCTTTACATTGGCTATGAAAAGTAGGCAAATCACTAAAGAACAAAACAGGAAAACTCTCAAAGGCATATGTCTTACTGTTCGGACTTAATCATGGTGTCCTATAGAAAAGAAACTTCAGTCATGTTTAATCAGCAATGAACTGCTAGAGGTGTTTGCAGATTACATTTTAGCAGAGAAGCCAGGCTTTGCTACTGGTGGTGCCCAAGGTCATCACATCCCAATTTTAAGGCACTGAAACCATTCATAATTAAAGAACTCTCTCCTGGTGTTAGGGAAGGTATGTGCATGCAGCCCCTATTCTCTCCACATTCTTGGCAGCTTCTTCTGGAGTGGCATTACACCCAGAACCCAGCCAGTCCCGCAATCAACTACAAACTTCCCCGTCCAGGAAGCCTCGCTCATTGCGAAGGAGGATGTGGAGAGCATCTGTGAGTTCTCCTGGGTAGCAAAGGCCAGGTGAGGGCCCAGAGTGGCTTTCATAACCACATAAGGTGTTAAATGACTTGAAAGAAGAGGAATAAAAGCAAGAGCTACATCACAAGATGTGAATTACAAGACTTCATGTCCTCATCTCACCCTGTACAGACATGATTGTGACATCACTGTAATCCACGTGTCTGTGTCCCTGAAGAGCTGGCCACAGTTCTGAGTCCCTTCCCCTTTATAGGAGGTGAGTTTATGTTTTTGTTCACCACCCCATATATTTTCTACCCTGGATACACATAGTAGTGATGGGCTAAATGGGTTCAAAGGATCTTGTGTGTATGGAGGAGTAAAGGGTCAAGGGGAGAGTCAACTGTCAGCCCTACCCCAGGACCTACTATTCGAATTCTGGGCAAAGAGGTGACCAGGGGTTCCCCATTACAATGGCTCTCTAGACCCAAGTGGAAAAGCCGCATGCCAGTGACTGAATGACACTGTGAATGTCTGATGAGGTATTTGTGATGGATCTAAAAAATTAAAAGGCAGATTGCTGAATTTCAGGCTCTTGAGAAAGAGCTTTACAATGATCATTATTCTAGATGGCTGCAACTTCAGAAAAGAAAAATTAGGCTTTGTTTTGCTTAAAGTAATTTAACTACTCATTATAGTTTCTTTTCAAATACTGAATGACAGTTCTACTTTATATTCCCCTATCAATCTTAGTTTGCATAGAACTTGAATATCCTTCATGTCTTTATTATTATTTTATTAAATAAATTAAGGAAGGGTACTTACTTTGCCCATTACTAATCACTATTTTGGTTATACCCAAAGATATACTATGGCAATTTTATTTGAAATTGCGACAAACTGGATTTCCTACTTTTGAATTTACTAAAGCAATGCTCCACAATGGTAATACCATCCCTAGGGGGCGTTTTTGGAAAAGTTGGGGGGGGGGGTCCCTCTGGTTATCATAATAATCTAGGGAGCCATGAATGTTAGATAACATACAAAGCACAATGAAGAAATGTCCCCTGTAACTCTGAAATATACCTCTAGCCTAAACCCAGTGCAATTATAAATAAGTGGTTCTTCAGTACATGCTGATAGTAAAATGTTTTTATAAGTAGTTACGCAAAAAATCCAATCTTTAGCAGTGTGTTAAAGAAACGGAAGCTTAATAGGTTGAAGATCTTCTCATGAAACTTTTGAATAAATACCTCACTGCGTGCATCCTGCTAGCCAAAGCATCACTGCATTTCCAGTTGAAAAAGATTAAAAGCCACAAAACCAGTTGCATATATGCAACAGGTAATTTGAGACTCATTTCAACAAATTAAGAACCAAACATTATTCAATTACTAGAACACATGAAAGGGACCTTACTGTACGAACTGATCCTGTCCCCAGGGATCTCTCACACAGCACCTGTTTCTTTTCCCACCCCACCCACTCTATCCTTAGCACTTATCAGTGATATGGTTTTGAAGGTCATTTGAGTACCAGGGACTGAATGTATTCTTCAATATGTGGAGAGATATCAAGAATATATTTTCACTGATCCATTATTACTCTGATGTTTCATGTTATAACATGGGGAGCTCTTCTGACACAATATTTATGAATAATGCCCAGGTCACTTGCAAGATGGTCATACTTCTTCATTTCCTCTACTTCCACAGTCTGCAATGTCTTGGCACATTAGCCCTACTTCAATAAGGTCAGAACCTGCTTCTTTCTTTTCATTTTTGTGTCCACCTATACCTTTATTCCTTCATTTTCTTGACCGTCTTATATGAAACAGCTCTGCTCCTACCTTCCTAAACTCAAACTTCTTCATTATATATAAGTTCAAGTATGTGACTACTGCATTGTGTCTCCCGGGGGTAGTCACCCAAGAGAGTCTAAATGCAAATACTTGTTATGTTATTAAAAATTTTCTTGTTCTTTCTTTTACACACTACTCTTTCGGCATTTCACCACATTGTTGACATTTGTGTGCTGAAAGCCATCTTACGTTGTGACAGCGACTATCTGTTAGAGCAGATGGTGTTAGTGCTGATGTGAAACTGAGGTGAGAAAGACCTACGTGATGTTGGGAAAGGTGGCACAGTACCTGTCTGGGCACAGGGAGATGTAGAGCAGAAGCAGGGGCCCAGCCCCGACGACGGTGGCCAGGGAGGACCGCATCCAGGAGCTGAGCTGGCAGAAGTTACAGTAGTGCACGACAGCGATGAGAACGGCCGAGGCCATGAACACGGTGAACTGCAATGAGGGGCAGGAGCTCAGTTAGGAACCCATCCCATCTCCTCAACTTGTGGGCCCACTCACCACCTGCCACCTGAGCACCATATCAAATAATTTGCTTATTTATCTGTGTTTCTGCATCATATAAAAATATCACAGATACCATAATATATCCAGCAATTTCAAGGACAGGTCATGAATCATTAGGTTAATTACATAGAGCTTTGGGGTACAAGTTCGCAGAAACCCTAAAAATCTCCAGATGTGTGAAGATCACATTTTGGAGGAAAGGGAAGGTAGGCCACACCACCTGAGAACTAGCATGGTGTAATCAGTTACCTTCAAAAAGCCTTTCCTTCAGGTACCTGCTGCCTGTCAACAGAAATGTAATTTGGTGTTCAAGCATCAAACGCAGTCAGCCTGCCCTGGTAGTTCATGTTACAGACACTTTCACCCAAAATATAACTTTCCACAACAGCATTAATTCATTCTTGACGGGGTTTAACTCTGAAGCTCCTTCCCTGAGCACCAGCAGCCGATTCAGGTGTGAGTCAATTACCTGTGCCAATCCTGCAGATCAGCACATAATCTTGTATTCCTCACAACGTTTCTTTATGTGGTAAAACAGGTAAAAAAACCAAACAAACTGATTTGGACCTTGGTGGACAGAACACATGTCTTTTGGGGACTCTCCCCAGGGCAGGGCAGCATCTTCTCCAGCATCCATGAGTGTGGCCAGTGACAGGCTTGAGCTTCTGGACAGGCTTCACAGTGACCTTCCTGCCTGCTCCTCTTTTAAAAAGACAAGCTCATGGAAAAACAAAGAGATTGTACTTCTTTAAGGGCCTATATTAATTAGTGTCCCAAGTCATTAGGCTTATTATTATTTTTTTTTAAAGTGATGAGGGAATCCAGAGAGCACAGAAATAAAATCGCTAAGCCTTTACTTACGTGTATGTTTGTCTCAAATTCAGAAGTGATGTGTGAATAGACTGCGAGAGCAGGAAGTGACACCAGGATGGCCCCAATGAAATGGCGTGGGAGCCAGCCAGCTATCCACTCTAGCAGGCGCTTAGTACAAGCCATCACATCCTCCAGGAAAAACACCATCCTGTACCGGAGGGAAAGGAGAAACGCGATGTCTATGGGTGGGTCAGCCAGCCAGGGAAGATGGAAGGAGAATCCACAGCCAGTGCCACTCCCCACTCTCACCCGTGCTGCTGCCACTGGTGTGAACAAGCACAGCCCCCACATTCCTCCCTTTTGGTAGATGGCAAGTACACTGGACTTACTCAGCTCATCACACCTTAAGTTCACTTACTGCATTCGGATAAGATGTGCTTATAAAAAGCCAAGCATAAGCCTCAGTGGGTGTAACAGAGCAGATAAGAACTGGGTAGAGATACTAACAGGCCCTGTGAAAGGTGGCCACCTTACTGTCATCTGCTCCTAGGGCAGGAGATCTCTAGTGGGTGGTTCAGGGGCTGTTTTGGAATTTTGGGGGGCCTTTTAGGTTGCCACAATGATCGAGAGGTGCTACTGACATCTAGAGAGGCACTCTGCAATCTACAGTAAAGCTCTGCCCTGCCCCACAAGACTGCTACATGCCCCCTGGACACACAGGGACGTGAAAAGCCTGCTGACAATGACCTCAGCCTAGAGCCCAGTTGCATTTTGTTTATAAACAGAAAGTAGTTTCTGTGTGTTGTTAACATACACTTTTCGAGGAATAAAATTCTATTTATTCTGGACCTAGCAAGATTACCCTTTGTTTTGTTTGGGACATCACCAAGAGTTGTTCAGCATTTCAGAAATCACAAGCTGCAACTCAGCCCGTGGCGCCTGTGCACCCAACCTGCACACCTGACGGCGTGGAGCTGTCACATTTACAGCAATCGTACGCAGAGGGCAGACAGCTGATGGCTTCGCTATAACCCCAGATGGCAGTGCCCTAGAATATTCTAAGTGAAGCACCACATATTTTATTTTAAATGGCTTTCTTGTTTTTTCTCCTTTGTATTGGAGTGATGACATTTCACTGATTCTTTTAGAAGCTGTGTGTATAGGTGGGCTATATTTCAGGATGGTGACATGAACATCATAAAATATTTTTCATAAAGAAGGGAGCTGAGAACTGTGGTCCTAAAGGAAGAACCTCCTTTACACTTGGCTAAGTGAGGGATCCCAGAGTCAGGAGCAGCCTGGACTCCAGCAGTGGGAAGTGGAAGAGAGGGCATCAAGGGTCTGCCTCAGGAGGGAGGCACACACACACAGTCCCTCTCTGAAGCCCAGGTGGAAGGGGACCAGCCCACTGCCCTCGCTTCTGAAGGGGCCAGGAGTCACTGCTGAACTTCCAGGGCACAGAGCCCCATCAGGGTTTCTCACACACAGGCACCCGAGCCTTAGGTCTGAACATCTGCAATGCAGCGACTGCTCTAGCTGTGTTCAGCCTCCTTGAGGAAACTCCAAATCTCAGCTATTTACCAGGTGGAGCCAGGCCCCATTGGACCCTTTTAAGTCCTGGACTATTTTGGCCTCCAGATACTTAAAGGATAATGGAGTCCTTGGAATATTTCCAAGAATAACCACAAATAATGCTCAAAGGCAGAACACATAAGCCCTACAAGGAGACAGAGGGAGCTGAGTCCCAGCCAGGAGAAGGCCTTCCACAAAGGTCCCCAGGACTGCAGAATTCCAACCCCTGTTCTCAGCCTGTCTAGTGCATAGCACAAATAGCTGGAGTGGAAGGACAAGAGCCCAAGCTGAGATTGGGTAGCCCTCTGGATGAGGTGTCAAGGTCCAGGGCCGGCCACTGAAGCAGCCATAGAACCAGCTTCCCTGGGGCACCTACGTATTTCTCAGTGTAAGTCCTTGTTAGTCTGGGATCCTAAATACAAATATGTCCTCAGTGGGCTGAGAGGAACTCCTTCAGGGTCTCAATCTCTCCCAGGCATTGACTATCCAGGTAAAGTGAACTTTTAAAGTCACACCAGCGGTCTTTCAGGAGCACAGTGGCTACTGCATTTGCCCAGCCCAGCACCTCAGCATCCAGGCACAGCCAGGCCTGGTGTCTTGTCTGGCCTCCAGCCCTCTGTAGTCTCTAAATGTCGGTTAGCCCAGATTCTGTAGAATTGGGTCCAAGGAACAGGGAATAATGGTATAAAAGTTTTTTGGGTTTTTTTTTATCCTCACCGAGGATATTTTTGCATTTATCTTCAGATAGAGGGGGAGGAAGAGAGAGAGAGAGAAACATCAACATGAGAGAGACACATCAACTGGTTGGCACCCACACAACCCCAACCGGGGCCAGGGACAAACTGCAACCGAGGTAGGTGTCCTTAGTGGGAACTGAACCCGGGACTCTCTGGTCCGTGGGTCGACGCTCTAACCGCTGAGCCAAACCAGCCAGGGCAAAGTATTTGTTTTTTAAGTATGGAGACAATGCTAGCCTCAGAAAGATCAAGAGGCTTATGTAGCTGTAGGCCCCTTGCCAGCTGGAAACCTGGAGTTGGGGCAGGGAAGAGAGCTGAGTAATTGCAAAAGGGTACTGTGTTTTCTTTGGGGCGATAGAAATGTTCTGAAATTATATGGTGATGTTTGCACAACTCTTTAAGTTTACTAAAGATAATTGAGTTATAGACTGAAATGACTGAATTTATTACATGTGAATTATATACAAAAAAACTAATTTAAAAAAAACTAAGGCCTGAGGATGACTTAGTTTGGGTTCCCCAGAAGCAGAGCTGAGTTGCAAGTGGGTTCCAGGCAGTTCAATGAGGGGTACAGAACCAGGACACAGAGGGGCAGGCCCACAGGGAGGGCTGTGTTATGGAGGAGCTACCAGCTAGAGGGGAATTTGGAGAGAGAGCAAGGAGGCACCTCAGAGTTATCTCAACCAGACACAGGAGGTGAGGGTGTGGCCTCTGGCAGCCTCAGCAAAGAGCCCCCTCACAGGGGCCTCAGGAGGTAGCTGGGGGACAGTGAGTGTAGAAGGAAGGGGGACAGGCATCCAGCCTCAGGGCCAGACCTGAAGCTATTGCTTCCTGTCCTGGGAAGTTGGGGAAGAGGAGCAGAAACTTATGGTCCGGGCCCTTCTCCCTGTTTCTGTTTTACCCCCAGCTTTGAGGGGCAATTATTAGTGGGACCCTACTAGGTTGACAGGCTGCCCTACTGGGAGTGACAAGGCTGAACAAAGGAGGTGGTTGTGCTGCAAGGACCCAGTGTCAGAGTGCCCAGGAGGCAGACGGTGCAGGTGGTTTGTGTGCTTGTGAACAGAGTGCCCTGTGCATTCACATCCAGTCAGAAATGTACACAGCAGCTGTGAGCTTCCTCAGTGCTAGACTGAACCCTGCTGTCAAGGTGGGCAGGACGTGAGGGCCTAGCTTCCCGAGGGGCCACTATTGTCTATTCAGATCTTCTGTCCATTTTTAAACAGATTATGTTTTTATTATCATACTTACATTCTAGATATTAGACCCTGGTAACAGATATGATCTGCAAATATTCTCTCCCATTCTGCAGGTTCTCTTTAACTTTTTTTCTTGCTAATCCTCACCCAAGGATATTTTTTCCACTGATTTTTAGAGAGTGGGAGGGAGGAGGGGGAGGAGAGAGAGAAAGAGAGAGAAACATTGATGTGGGAGACACATCAATTGATTGCCTCCTGCACATGCCCTGACTGGGGCCAGGGACATCCCATTGACTGCAACCCAGGTACATCCCATTGACTGGGAATCAAACCTGCGACCCTTCGGTGAGTGGGCTGGCACTCTAACTACTGAACCACACTGGCCAGGGCTCTTTAACTTTCTTGATGGTGCTCTTTCAACTTAAAAATTTTTAATTTTAGCCCGGCCAGTGTGGCTCAGTGGTTGAACACTGATCCATGCACCAACACATCGCCAGTTTGATTCCTGGTCAGGGCACATGCCCAGATTGTGGGCCAGATCCCCAGTGAGGGGCATGCAAGAGGCAGCCAATCAATGTTCTCGCTCATCGATGTTTCCATCTCTCTCTCCCTCTCTCTTTCTCTAAAATCAATTTCAAAAAATTAAACAAAACAAATTTTGATGAAGTCCAACTATCTATTTTTTCTTTGATTGCTTGTGCTTTTTGTGTTATATCTAAGAATCCACTGCTTGATTCAAGCTCAGAGAGATTTACACCTATAATTTCTCCTAAGGGTTTTATAGTTTTGCTCTTACATTTAGGAGAGGCACCTGCTTATCTGCTGGCAGTCCCCTATCATTTGCACCCAGTAAACTTCTTTTCTTTTTCTCTCTCTTTTCTTATTCCCTGTCTTCCCACCTTTTCTTTTTTTAAAGTCTCTGATTTAGGAGATCCAGGGACTAGCTGGCGGCATTGGGGCTGCAGAGGACACTGACCCTCTGGTAAAGAGGGTGCCCACCTGTGCCGAGGGCCAGGGTCTTCAAGGGAGAAACCTGTGAGGTAGGGCTGGAGGAGGGAAGGAAAGAGGACCCATCACCTGAAATGAGCTTGCAGAGACAGCCCGCTTCAGACCGCTGGTCAGTTGTACCGCAGACAGTTCAGTCATAAACTGTTGAGCCAGCAGAGGGAGCCAGAGGCTAAAAACTGGAGAACTGCCCTGCAGGTGAGCCTTTACCTGACAGAGACCACGAGAGACAGCACCTCCAGTAGCAGGGCCACCCCGAAGACCACCAGGGTGGCTGGCGGGGGAGGTGTGGTGGCAGCCCCATACTTCAGGAAGCAGGTGATGGAGAGAATCAAAAACACTGTTGTTGACAGAAATACATCCAGGAGGGAGCTGAAGGTGGCACTGGCAAAGGTCTTCACGGGAGAATTCTTCATAACCTGTTTGGAGTAGAAGAAAGGTGGAGGCACATGAATAGATGCTGCAACAGGTTGTCATGGAGCATAGTTTAGGTGGAAAAACCCAAACATTTGTTGAGCACTTGCCTACCCCCGACCTTGTACAGGGTGATGTGCCCCCCAAAAAGCAACTGATTACACACCAATAAGCTCTCAAAGGTGTATTACATTCTGGGCCTGAAAGATGAGTTAGTGGCTAGCAAAGTCAATGACCCTACATCTATAAAGTCAGTAGCATGAAAGTCATTTGCTGGAAGCTTCCACTGAATGGCTGGGTCCCAGGTTCAGGGTGTGAAAGCTGGCTTCATGACAGAAGCAGACTGAAGCAGCAGCAGATGACCATTTTATATACAGGCATGTCAACTGACAGTAAGAGATCATCATGCCTTCACTCAGGAGCCTGCTCTTGGCTGGCTCTGTGTAGGGTGCTGGGGGTAGATATGAAACAATGCCCGAGGGGAGTTCACAGCCTAATGGAGGATGCACCAGCTGCAGAGGAAAGAGCTGGGAAATGAGAAACCTGGGTTGTTAGACTCAAGAGTGCAGAAAAATTTGGAGTTTTCTCCCTCATGTAGATAAATTCACATAAAGATGCAATTTAGGGCTTACAGATTGTGGGAAATCAATATTAGCCTTCATTTTCCTGTCACTCAGGAAAACAAAAGAGGTTTCCAGAGCACAAAACTAATTGGTAACTATCCAGTAAAAACAACACATTTCTTAAGTAAAATTATAAGGAACCTATACCTCTTCTTATTCTTTTTTAAAAATGTATTTATTTATTGTTGAAAGTATTACAGAAGCCCCCCCCCCCTTTTTTTTGCCACGCACCTCTTCCTGATAGCTGGTCCTATAGGCTTGCTCTAGCTCCTGATCCAGGAAGTTCAAGCTGAACTGATTAATGGGTGGCTTAAAAAAGTAATCTTTCATCAGGCTAGAAGAGATGAAAAATACAATCGATCAACATGAGAATGATCATATTTATTTTACCAGAGGATCGTAATTAGCTACCAAAATGCCATTCATAAAGCATGTCACAAAAGCTGTGTCTAAAAGTCACCATGTTATAGACATGGCTCCACCACCCCTTTTAGAATATATCTCTGGAAAGTGTTTCCAAGCATAATCCCATTTTATGTTTCCCCTCCACTAAAGAATGACCATTCAACATAATTATAACACACATCATTAGAACTCCGCTTTTGAAAGCATCTTCCTGATATCCAGAGTTAGAAGAAGGCAGCTTTTTTGTTCTATGAACTAGCAGATCCCTGTACTGAGAGCACTTATGCAGATTTGAAGGCTTCCAATGAAAACATAATTCAGCCGGCTCTCTTGTCATTCAGAGTACTGACAGTAATCACCACCATCAAAGAAAGCTAACAGATTGTTACCACAAAATTGTGTTTACAGTTAGTGTAGTTTTGGTGCTACTGTTACAAATGCAGATTGTGTGTGAAGCCTGAAAAATGATAATGCTCAATGACTTTAATAGCAGAGAAATCAAACCTGCTGTACATGACTCATTCTGTTATGGATTGCCAACAAATAATTAATATTCTTTTTCTACTGAAGAAAATTGCTATCAATTTAAGTGAATGTTAACATGGTTTCAGAAGGCAAATATAGCCATGGGATGTAGTCTCTCTTCTTCATACAATAACTACTAATTAAATTGGATGGAATAGGTAAAGTGCCTAGCACGTGCCTGTCACACAGTAGGGTTCACTATACACATGCCTCCTCCTTTCCCTCTCTTTTTGTGTTAAGTATGCAATACCTGACTACAATCTCAGCTCAGAAGAGGAGAAAATTCTATCCCCTATGTGGACCCACCATCACCACATCCTACAAATGCTGAATATAATTTTTTTCAAGTGCAAAGGTATGTTCACCAAAAAAGACACAAGTGAGGCCATAAAATAAGTGTCAATAAATGTAAAAGGACTAAAATCACATAGAGTATGTCTCTGGCCATGATGACATTAAGTTAGGCATTGATAACTAACATATCTAAATACTATTCTTCACAAAAAGGAGTGAGGGCTCTGGTGAGAAACACATGATTCCTGAGCTGGGGCAGGGAAGATACAAAATGAGGCTGGAATATCTTGTGCTAGACCATCGATTCTCAACCGTTCTCATCTGATGGCACACGTAAATTAATTACTAAAATTCTACGGTACATCAAAAAATATATTTTTTGCTGATCTGATTAAAAATAAAGAAAAGATATAATTTTGATTCATTCACACCAGATGGCTATTGTTGTGTTGGCTGTTGCCACTTTTTTTATTTGACAACCTAAGGGCAAAAATGGTCAGTGCCCTGACTAAATAGCCAGGTATTGCATGTTTTAAAAATTCTTACAGCACATCGGTTGAAAATTGCTGTGCTAAATAGAATTCAAGAAATTGCTCAAGTCCGCCCTGGCCAGTTTGGCTCAGCGGTTAGAGCGTCGGCCTGCGGTCCGGAGAGACCCGGGTTCGGTTCCCGCTAAGGGCACGTACCTCGGTTGCAGTTTGTCCCCGGCCCTGGTTGGTCGTGCGGGTGGCAGCCACTCGATGTGTCCTTTCACATCGATGTTTCTCTCTCTCCCTCCCCCTCCATCTGTGCAAAAAATGGAAAAATATCCTCGGGTGAGGATTAAAAAAAAAAAAATTAATAAAGAAATTAAAAAAAAAAAAAGAAATTGCTCAAGTCCAACCAGTGTGGCTCAGTGGTTGAGTGTCGACCCATGCACTAAGAGGTCGCCGGTTTGATTCCCAGTCAGGGCACATGCCCAGGTTGTGGGCCCGATCCCCAATGGGGGGCATGTAGGAGGCGGCCAATCGATGTTCTCTCTCATCAATCTTTCTATCTCTCTCTCCCTCTCACTTCCTCTCTCTAAAATCAATAAAGGAGCCCTGGCCAGTTTTGCTAAGTGGTTAGAGCATCAGCCTGCGGTCCAGAAAGACCCAGGTTCAGTTCCTGCTAAGGGCACGTACCTCAGTTGCAGTTTGTCCTCCACCCTGGTTGGGTTGTGTGGGTGGCAGCCACTCGATGTGTTTCTTTCATGTCGACGTTTCTCTCTCTCTCTCTTCCTCTCTCTCCCTCCTACTCTATCTGAACAAAAAATGGAAAAATGTCCTCGAGTGAGAGTAAAAAAAAATAAATAAAATCAATAAAGGAGAAAAAAAAAGAAATCGCTCAAAATAAATGATGGAGTCATATTAAAACAATACAGGAGTTAGTCCTAAGGGGGACAGATTTGGTATAACTACAGCATCAAACTAGAGTAAGGACAGTAATGGACTATATCCCGTTAAGTAGAACAGAACCCTATGTGTCCAGATTGGTAATATATGGGTAGATAAAGGAATAAGTGGGGAGGGGCTATCCTTCACAGTGGAATGCTGGACACCAAATGATAACTGTGCAGTTGGTGCTGCAGCAAGAAAATCACAATTCTAAACCATCACAGTAAAGGTTGTTATAGGCAAGAACCATCTGTGGAGATTAAATCTAGGGGAGTTTGATGAGGAATGGGATATTTACATTATCATAAAGTATCTTCCCACAGACTGCTTATTAGTCACAAGAAAAAAATCTTAACTATATATTGGAGAAGACTGCAACACACTTGCCTGGTTGATCAAAATTACTATGCAGATGAAGGACAAATGGGCACTGAGAGCCTCTAGACAGGATACCTAAGAAAGACACACCCCTTCTACAGTATCTGTCCAGCCTGAATGTAATCACGAGGAAACATCATATAAATCCAACTTCAGGAATATTTTATAAAAGAACCAGACCTGTATTTTTCAAAAAAGTAAACATCATAAAAGACACAGAATGGCTGAGGAACTGCCTGAGATTTAAAAAGACAAAAGAGGCATGACACTACATAATGCAGGCAATGATCCTGGACTAGATCCTATATGAGAGGGAAAGGAAGTTCTACCACCTGACAAAACTGGAGCCCTGACTGGGTGGTTCAGTTGGTTGGAGTGTCGTCCCATACATCAAAAGGTTCTGGGTTTGATTACCAGTCAGGGCCCGTACCTAGGTTTCAGGTTCCATTCCTGGTCGGGGCATGTACAGAAGGCAACTAATTGATGTTTCTCTCTCACATTGATGTTTTTTTCCCCTCTCTCTCCTCTTTCCTCTCTCTCTAAAAAAATCAATAAATACATATCATTGGGTGAGAATTAAAAACAACACCTGGAGCCCTGGCCAGTTTGGCTCAGCGGTTAGAGCGTCAGCCTGCGGTCCGGAGAGACCCGGGTTCGGTTCCCACTAAGGGCACATACTTCGGTTGCAGTTTGTCCCCGGCCCTGGTTGGTCGTGCGGGAGGCAGCCACTCGATGTGTCCCTTCACGTCGATGTTCCTCTCTCTCTCTCCCTTCCTCTCTCTCCCTCCCACTCTATCTGTACAAAAAAATGGAAAAAATATCCTTGGGTGAGGATTAAAAAAAAACAAAAAACAAAAAAAAACAACACCTGGAGCCCTGGCTGGTTTGGCTCAGCGGTTGGAGCATTGGCCTGCGGACTAGTGAGTCCCGGGTTCGGTTCCCACTAGGGACACATACCAAAAAAAACACAAAAAACCTCAAATATGGACTGCAGATTAGATAAAATATCACATCAATGGCAAATTTCCTGAATTTAATAACTACAATTATGTGAAAGAACATCTTTATTTTTAGAAAATACAGTATTTAGGAGTAAAGAGAATGATGTATTCAATTTACTGTCAAATGGTTTAGAAAAAAAAAAATTTCATAGATGCCCTGGCCAGTTTGGCTCAGCAGTTAGAGTCTCGGCCTGCGGTCCAGAGAGACCCGGGTTCGGTTCCCGCTAAGGGCACGTACTTCGGTTGCAGTTTGTCTCCGGCCCTGGTTGGGTTGTGTGGGTGGCACCACTTGATGTGTCCCTTTCACGTCGATGTTTCTCTCTCCCTCTCTCTTCCTCTCTCTCCCTCCCACTCTATCTGAACAAAAATGGAAAAATGTCCTTGGGAGAGGATAAAAAAAAAATTTCATAGAGAAAGAAAGAAAGGAGGAGAGATAGAGAGCAAAAAAGTACACATAAAAGAATAACAGGCAGCCCTGGCCGGTTTGGCTCAGCGGTAGGAGCGTCGGTCTGCGGTCCAGAGAGACCCGGGTTCTCTTCCTCTCTCTCCCTCCCGCTCTATCTGAACAAAAAATGGAAAGGTGTCCTTGGGTGAGGATAAAAAAAAATAATAATAATAACAGGCAAAGAGTATAAAGGGAATTCTTTGTATTTTTCATGCAATATTTCTGTAAGTTTCAATTACTCCAAAGTAAAGTGATATATTGTCAACACATGACTGATAAGGTAATTCAGAAAAAGAGAGAGGTTTCTACCTGCAAACTTTTCTTCAATGCCTATGGCTCCACTCTTACCTGTCTTCTTTGATAACATCAACGAAGTGGGCATCTGTTTTCTCCCGGATATTCTTGAATCTCAGTGGAAGGAGAGCAGACTGGTCCAAACTGACTCCTGCCCACTTTCCCTTTTCCTGTAAGATCTCACATAGGGAGGTCTGGCTGTTAGTGAGCTTCTCCTCTTGGGGAGGGCTCAGCAGTCCATTCTGCGTTTTGGAATTATGTCCTCCAGAAGCCTGCCTCAAGACAGAGAGAAGCAGATAGAGGTGACCCATGGGTGTGCAGTGTGCTATTTCATGAAACCCCTCTGCTACGCTGGGGTCCCACTGGACTGTACGCTGTATCTTCAAATCTCTGTTCCAATCCAAACTCTCAACCTCTCCACCCGTCTGCTTCTCCCCATCCCCCTAGTTTGTCAAATTGCACCTCCAGGCATTCAGGCAACAAGAGAGGTTGAGGCTCTCAGAGTTTGCTGACCACAGAACCGGGTGGTGGTGGGGGATGTTTGGGGGACTTGGAAGAAGTGCAAGGGTGGATCCAGAGAAAGAAAACCCATATGGGCTGTAGTTTAAGGATGGATCACTGCCTGCCTGCAGCACAGACTGACCCAGTGCCACACAAGTCCATGGGCAGACAGCATGAGGGTGGAGGGTGACAGATGTAGGCTTCTTGGAAGGTCAACCTTCATGGCTTCTTAAAAGGCTCTCAAGTTTGCTCTTTATTCTGCTTTCCACTCCAGTCCTGGCTCTGGTTCCAGGGGAGGTTTCTCTGGCAGCTTTCTTGTTGCTGCCCCTAACCCCAAGCCCCTCTTCACTTGGCTAACCCGCATTCCACCATATGTTGAGTCCAATTTCCAGCTCCACAAACTTTCCCTAACTCTCTAATCCACATCCTTAAACCCTTATTGCCCTTTAGGGATCCCATCTAGTTCAGCATGTGATTACTTCTCAGGGATTAGTTCTGACTTTCCATCTTGTTCTTTACAGGTCTGCTCAACAAACCCAAGGACTAGAAGGTATGGAATGGTGTCACCTAAGAGGAGTTATTCTTAGAAGTGAGAAGGTGACAAGACAGGAGTGTCGCCTCAGGTGGATACACAGGGAGAAGAACTGACTGGAATGACAGCCAGGAGCTCGTTACCTTGGTGGTGTTTTTATGCTCCTCCTGACAGCCATTTTGCACTGCTCCTCCTTCTGCGCCAGCTTCCGAGTTGGGAGCAAACGTGATTCTGCACGAAGGGCAGGTCTACGAGAAAAACACAGGCCATAGGAACTCACCCAGAAAACACGACCACCATATGTAATTCAAACAGGTTCTCATTGTTGCAATTTGCTGTCATGTAGTATGGTGTAACCAAACAGAAGGCTTACTGAACCACTCCAGGATGAGTTAAAGACAAACTGGCAAAGAGAAAATGGAAACACGTCCACACAAAGACCTGTATGTGAATGTTCCGTAACAGCCAAAAAAATAAAAAAACTCAAATGTCCATTAACGGATTAATGGATCAATAAAATGTGGTCTACCCATACAATGGAATGTTATTCAGCCATCAAAAGGAATGAAGTATTGATTCAGGCTACAACATGATAAACCTTGAAAATATTACACTCAGTGAAAGAAGCCAGACACAAAAAGATACACACTGCATGATTCTATCCATATAAAATGTCCAGAAAAGGCAAATCCATTGAAATGGAAAAGGGACTGAGTACTGACAAGGAGGAGAGGGATTAGGGAATGGGGAGTGACCTAATGGACATGGGGTTTATTTTGGGGGATGATGAAAATGTGCTAAACTTGACTGTAGTAATAGTTGTACAATTTTGCAAATATATTGAAAAGTACCAAATTGTACACTTCATAAGGGTAAGTTTCTTGGTATGTGAATCACATCTCAATAAAGCTGCTATTGAACAAACAATCCACTGTTTCCCTACATGAGAGGCCTGAGCCAAGGTCTACCAGCTCTATGTGAGCTGTTCCTATAAAACAGGCTGAATAATCAGAGGGACCTGTTTATAGACCTAGGAATTCTTAGAAGCTTACAGAAATCAGTTGACCTAGAAAAGAAAAGGCAAGACTTAATACTGATCTAGAAAAGAAAAGGCAAGACTTAAAGGTAGAGTAGAAAGGGCGGCATGTAGGATTGGGCCCACAATCTGGGCATGTGCCCTAACCAGGAATCAAACCAGCAACCTATTAGTGCATGGGCTGTACTATTATTATTAACGTGACTCATTAAACTAGGAATTGTCATTGAGATAGCAACTACCTGCTTCCAGTGGAGAAGACAAACTGTAGCAGCAAAGATTTATTAGGGCTCAAAAAATATATCTCCTTGCATAGCATTGTTAAACATTGGAATATAGTATAGGAGGCTAGATATTATTTTTTATTTTTATTTTTTATCCTCACCCGAGGACATTTTTCCATTTTCTGTTCAGATAGAGTGGGAGGGAGAGAGAGGAAGAGAGAGAGAGAGAGAAACATCGACGTGAAAGGGACACATCGAGTGGCCGCCACCCACACGACCAACCAGGGCCGGGGACAAACTGCAACCGAGGTACATGCCCTTAGTGGGAACCGAACCTGGGTCTCTCTCTTCAGACTGAAGGCCGACGCTCTAACCCCTGAGCCATACTGACCAGGGCTATATTATTTTAGAAATTTAAAATAAGTGTAATTTAGTACCTAAAGGCAAGGATATGACCCAGATCACATCCCAAGTCAGATTTCAGCCCAACACTGTATTAAATAAAAGAAATGAAGACTCTAAAGAGGTGTATAATTTGGGAATCTGATATAATGCACAAGCTAAGTCTGAACAGTCGTATTCATCGAAAAATGAAAATATACATGCCAAGAGAGCTGGCCAAACCATTAACTAGCATACCTGAGCAAACAGTAGCACCTAGATAAAATCTGCTTATAGCTCTTTAAAAATTGACATTATTAACAGGGGTAAAATGTCAATACATACAATAAAATTATTTTAAAGCATGTCTTGGTATTGATTGAGTTAAACTTCAAAACATTTTACCAATGGGGCCACTAATCTAAAAAAAAAAATCCACTCTCTCTCTCTCCCTCTTTCTCACACACACACACACACACAGAGTGACCCTCCCAACCCCCATGGGAGGAATAAAGTATATATGCCCAAGACATGCACAGCATGGTCCTATGGGTGCCCCCTAGTGGGGATGGAAGAAAATGAATTTGGTGATGGCTGTGGTGGTAGGCTTGCTTCTCTAGGGATGTACTGGCCCGCCAGCCTTTTCAGGGACCAAGTAGTGGCCTGGGGATGGAGTGATACAGCCTGGAGTGTGGGAACAGGTTGAGAGACTCTGAGACAAACCCTTAAGGTCCAGGGACTTTCACCAATCTCATAAAGACACGATGAAAGAGTAAACAGGCATTTCTCTGACAGCTTTTTTTTGGGGGGGGGGGGGGTGCTTATTATGTATTCTTTTTTAAAAAAATTTATTTATTTATTTATTTTTGTTACAGATGTTTCTCCTTTTTCCCCCATTGACACCCTCCTCCACCTCCCTTCCCACCATCCCCAGCTTTGTTGTCCATGTCCATTGGTTATGCATACATGCATATAAGTTCTGTGGTTTATCTCCCTCCCCCACCCCTCCTTCTGGGGATTGTCAGTCTGTACCCTACTTCCACGTCTCTGGGACTACCCTGTTCTTCAGACTGTTATGTTCATTATATTCCACAAATAAGTGGGATCATATGATATTTGTCTTTCTCTGTTTGCCTTGTTTCACTTAGGATAACACTTTCCTCTGACAGCTTTTTAAATACTAAGACTAGAGAAGTAGAGTAACAGTGATTAAAGGCACTGGATTTGAAATCAAACTGCCATGGACTGAATCCTGGTTCTACAACTTAAAAGGGACACTCTCTGAGTCTCATTTTCCTCCTTAGTAAAAAGGAACTGGCCCTGGCCGGTTTGGCTCAGCGGTTAGAGCGTTGGCCTGCGGTCCCGAGAGACCCGGGTTCGGTTCCCGCTAAGGGCATGTACCTCGGTTGCAGTTTGTCCCCGGCCCTGGTTGGTCGTGCGGGTGGCGGCCACTCGATGTGTCCCTTTCACATTGATGTTTCTCTCTCTCTTCCTCTCTCCCCCTCCCACTCTACCTGGACAAAAAATAGAAAAATGTCCTCAGGTGAGGATAAAAAAAATAAAAGGAACTGTATCTACCTTGAAGAATTATTGTAAGGGCAAATGAGTTAATACAAGTAAAGCATGTCAGAGGTATTTTAAATCAGCTTCGTTTTGTACACCAATGCTAATCCCATGATACTAACTTCCTGGAATAGTGAACTGAGGATGATGAGGCCACATGCTGGCCCAACAGGAGGAGAACTGTGATTGACTGGTGATGTGTGCCACAGGTGAGGGATGGACAAGAGGAGATATACACACATTTATCACAGCTTGGCTCTGCACAGTGCTTGAAGTGTTAATAAGTATTCAATAAATGTTGGCACTTAATGTTAAAACTTCTGGTCACTATTTTCTCTGGTTATAAAAATAGTTCATCTGAGCCCTGGACAATTATGCTCAGCAGTTAGAGCATCGGCCTGCAGTCCAGAGAGACCTGGGTTCGGTTCCCGCTGGGGGTGCATACCTTGGTTGCAGTTTGTCCCCGGCCCTTGCTGGGTTGTGCAGGTGGCAGCCACTTGATGTGTCCCTTTCACATCAATGTTTCTCTCCCTCTCTCTCTACCTCTCTCTCCCTCCCACTCTATCTGAACAAAAAATGGAAAAGTGTCCTCAAGTGAGGATTAAAAAAATAATAATTCATCTGATAATTTAATGTTCTTGATCACAGACAAGACAGCTACCCTTGGTAACTGCTCTTGTGTAGCTTTTTTTTTTTTTTTTTTTAGTTATTTCTTGGCATCAGTTGTTTCTAAGTATTTTTCTCTCCTCAAATACACCTGATGCACTTTAAAACAGGCCATCTGCTTCTTAGGAATTCCCATCACACACTGGTTTTACGTATATAAGATGTTTTATGCACTTATACAACAGTGACTATCAAACCTATTGGACAGCAGAGGGCACACATTCTCCACAAAGGATCTCCTTGATAGGAACCAAGGCCACACCATTCAGATTCTACCCTCTATCTATGAAGGTCTCAGCTGGGAAGAGGTTGAAAGGCTAGTGGAGACTGGGAGTGCCCAAAGGGACCATCTAATTTCTGGGGAGCCTGGGACACAGGCCTTCATGGATAGGCAAGTCAAAATTACATCCTTTTGACAAAGAGAAACTATGCTGTCAGTACCCTTCTATGATAAAATGCTCTAATGCAGAGGCAAGGTCTCGTACAGCTGCCCACAAAAGAACCTCAGGGAGCAAAGGCACAGACATACTCTGTCAGAGCCAAAGTTTTCATAAATGATTTAGAATTCTACACTCAGAGAGGTTTGGGGCCTGTGGAGGTCACATGTGAAGCAGTGGAGAGTAACTTGCGACTGGGACTGCTAATGCCTGAACAGTGCTCTCTGCTCACTCTGAATCCCCACAACAGCTTTGTCCACAAAGTGGGCACATGGGGTGGGGCAGGAGAACCAGTTGTGGACTTGCTTTGAAAATGCTGTTCTTTCTTTTTCAGCTACTTTGCTTTGTGGGGTGGTGGTGGATTTTTTAAATAAAACTTCAAAATAAATGAAACAAAAAAATCTTCAAGAAATCCATCTGCCCTGATGGAGACATTCTCATATCTTACATTCCCTTCTGCTCTGTTGTAAGAGTCCCCTCTGCATGAGGAGGGCCTCAACATGCAAAGGTTAGGTGGGTTTGTTTCCCTTCTCCACCCAAGATGCCATTTTCCTATAAGTATATTACAGCTTCATTTTAATTGGGTTAAAACATCTCACAAACTGCTCTTTGCTAAGCACATAGACACCTCTGTGAAATGTTTGCCAACCCATTAAATGTCCATCTCTCCTCCTGTGCAGCTGCCAGTAACTCCATCCCTCAGAAGCAGTCACTGGGAAGCATTTCAGACTTAGGGAACTAACAACCTGGTTTATCCTGCTGCCTTGAGAGGCATGCCTGAGCAACTGACTCACAGGGAAGCAATGGTGGCAAGCACATTAGATAAAGATCACTGTTGTAATGATGGCAGCTGCTATGATTTAGAAACACCAATGTGCAGAGGGCACACCAATGAATGATCATTAGGCCCTTAATCCAGGCGATGTCCACAGTCCCGTGTA